CAGCCGCTGTGACGAAACTGTGGAGAAGACACGTCACAGAGGAGAGCCGTTAAGCAATATGCAAATTAGCCTGCTGCAAATTAGCCCACTGCTCCACCCATATGAGCAGCAAAAAGACATTTTTAGACCAAATATTACAGATTTGAACAAATACGCACAAAAACATCAAAATTAGCACAGAAACAGTACTATATACCATTTTAGACACATTCTAGACAGTTTATCAGCTAAAAAAAGTTAATTTTGGGGTAAGTTACTCTTTAAGGAGTTAAATGATCCATAAACTTTAGAATTCTGCACTCTTTACTTTCTTAAACATGATTACAAAGATGAAACAAACAGATGCAGGTAAATTAGGGTTTGATGCTTTAGTAGAAGTTATTGGTGAGCTTTGCAGAAGATTTGAAGTTACCTAACATTTTTGTGCTGTTATGTGTTCCACAGGTAGTGAAGATGATGATTGTGGTGGTGTGTACGTTTGCTGTCTGCTGGCTGCCCTACCATGTCTACTTCCTGCTGTACCAGTTCTTCCCAGAGATGTTTGAAGAAACCTTTATTCAGCAGTTATATCTGGCCATCATGTGGTTGGCAATGAGCTCAACAATGTACAACCCCATCATCTACTGCTGCCTCAATGACAGGTTTGTCAGTTCCTGCACTAATTAGCACAAATATACTAGTGAATAACTCATTAAAATAAAGTTTTCACCAGAGAAAACTTTAATTTGAAAGGAGGTTCTTCTCATCTTGTTAGAATCTCATAAAAAACATTTATCAGGTGTTATTACCTTGACTTCCTGTACCACTAAGGTGTAGAGGACTAGTTTTTGTTGTCAAAGTTAAAATGTTTTTGTATCAGTATTACACAGAAAAATTACCCCATGTGTTTGATTCCTTTTTTATGCCTGTTCAATAAGTTGCAAAAGTGTACCCCCACCACCCGAGTGGTAATCATTCTATATTGTTGCCTTTTAAGCTGATATTTAAAAAATGTGATGTGTTGCATCATGTATATGCATCTAAAGTCAGTACTGTGTAAAGCCACTTTTTTGCAACAATTCCAGCATCAGATCTTTTCAGGTCTAGCTCCATTACCTCAGACCATCTAATCACTAAAGAGTTTATCTGATTTAAACAATAAGAGCAAACAACAACAAGCAAAGCAAATCTATACAAGGAAAAACAATGTACAAGTTCTCTGTTGGAGTTTCCACCACTATGCTGCACTGTAGGGACTSTATTCTAATCATGTGTCAGATTTGTACCAGATGTTTTTCTGGTCTTGATAGCCACAAAGTTCAAAGTCCTCAACATGTTTGGGGAGTCTCTGTTCTTTGAGAAATGTTCTCCTTACCTGGTGTGTGAGTTTTGAATGATTACCCTCAGGGTTTGCTATGATGTGTCATTTTTCCATTTCCTTATATTGAATTTAGTAGGAACTCTCCTTGGTAGAAGCCTTACTCCTGAGAGGTGATGAACTGGTTATGGTTCTAAGTAATATTGATTCAAATGTATACCACTTGTCAGATATTTTTTACAGACGTTTACAACACTTTCCCCTCATTTAACCTAATTATCCAAACGCAATCTGTGTTCATTACCTATAATGGAAATAAAAAAAAGGTTTATTTAAAGGTTGTAAAGCAACAAAATAAAAAGAATACTAAAGGGAAGGGGTGGTGGCTGTGGTACCTGTACAACCTACTATATATTGCAACTTTTTTCCAAAAATAAATCTTCCAGCTGATTGAAGGTGCTGCAAAAGTTCCTGTTGGAACTAGGAACTGGAATAGAAGTACAGACAACACAATATAGATAAATAATATAACACTACACAGTAGATCCATAGAAGACWTGGCTATATTTAATGATGACACAACAGCAATCTTTAATGAAGACTAAGTTACATAAATGTTAGGTTTTTTTTCCATCTTTGTTTTGCCTGCACATTTCAGTTGATTTCGCTTAACTTCAGAGCTGCAGAACATCACGTTTTTATCCAGTGTTTCTGTATTCCTGTTCCAAATAAAAATGACAAAATCTTTTACGTGTCAGAAGGCTCAGATTCTGATCTGCACATCACAAAATAAGCTGCTGCCTTAATGATTATCAGTTGTAAATTGTAACAAAGCTTTTACTGTAAGTACAGTGCTCTGAAATGACTTTTTTCTTCTGCATTAGTGTTTTCTAAATAAACATAGCTTATTAATAAAAATGTCAATGACTCGTAAAAAAAACAAACACAAACAAAAAACAGCAGATGGTCAGCTCAGCATGTTGTCTTCATTTGTGAGTCTTCCATTGTTCTGCATCAACGATGCTTTTCTRTGTGAAATGAGTTTCACACCTTTCTGTTCTTTCCCAAGAAATCTTTTAAGAACTTAAAAGAAAATATGCAGCTTGAACCAGAGCTACTTTATATTTTGTTTTGTTCAGGTCTTGTTTCTCAGAAAATATCAAAACATGTCACAGGTAAGTGCCATTGCTTCAAATAATTGTTCGGCGCACAAAAAAAAAAAAAAAACAGAGTGAAAATATTTTTGCAACAATTTTACTCAAGTCCTTGGCATTATTTTTTTGAAAAACTGGATATATTTCATTTAAAGTTATAGAAAGTAATTATTGGCTTCACATCTACAACTGATTAATTTTTGGAGTCAACCAAATTCAAGCTGGCTGTCACAAATAGAATCAAGAATCAAGAATCATTTATTGTCATTCATACATAACATCAAGATACAATGCAGAACAAAATATGCAGTTTTGAACATCTATCTGGAGAAACACACACACACACGACAGACCTTGCAGTTTAGAATACACACCAGGGCTGTACTGGCCATCTGGCGTACCGGGCAATGCCCGGTGGGCCAGCGCTCATTTATAGGCCGGCCCGGGTCTACCATGAACCAATTTTCGTAGATCGCGACGGCCAATTGGTTGATTTTCATGATCGACATTGAGCTAAGCCAATGAAATCTCTCAGCACTCCTCGGCCGGCCCGGCAAGACCCTCCCCTTTTCAACCAAAGTTATAAATCCTGCCAGAAGCTGCTGCTGGTCCGGAGTTGGAAAATAGCTCGTCGAGAAAGTGGGGGGAAAATGCAGAAAGGTCCCCAAGTGGACGTAGCAAAATGTGCAAAAATGAGCAATATATTTCCCTCAACAAGCCACAAAAATATCTGACCGACTGACCGACCGTATATAAATAAAAGGGTGGGGGTGGGGGGGGGGACTGCTTGGAGCAGCTGGCTCTGCTCCTCACCGGTCAGCCAGTGTGTGATCTGGCTGGGTTTTCCTGATAAGAAAAATCCATAGAGATTGTGTTTAAACTCCTCCCACTTGACCCACCGCTTCTGCCGGAGTTAAAGTGAAGCTGAGCGGACATGTCCCGACTCGTCAGCCGTTGGAGAGAGGTACACTTCGCTGCAGCATGCAGAATGGGGCGGTGACAGACCTTTCCGTCAGTCCCATACCTTATATGGAAATGGGACTATTGCATTCCGGAAATGAAGGTTGCTCCTTAAAGACGCGGGATTAAGAGAGCAAAGGAAGAAGAAAGGAAGAAGTTAGAGAGTTTCTTCTAGAGTAGTACTCAGAGCATTATTTATTAATTTCTTTTATCCACCTCCCCAAACACAGACCCTCAGGT